AAATCCACAGTAATAGAGAAACAGAGGAAGAGGCTCACATTTATACCCATCTTTGTATCCTCCATCTCCATGTTAGCCACATAAATGAGGAAAGAGAAAAGAGGAAAACACGTTCTGTTAACTGTTAGTAACATGATCAGTCTGCCAGAAGTCTGTAAAACCCACTGCATAGCTCATGAAACGGTCAAATTTAAATGTATATATGTACATATATACACACGTGTGTGTGTGCTTTCTAAGATAATGTACAAAGAATACAAAATATTTATCAAGGTAGAAGGGTAAAAAACTAAGAAAAATATTTAGACCATTGAAAAAGGTTGGATAGGCTCGGCACCCATAGCACAGAGGTTACAGCACAGGCCACATGCACCGAGGCTGGTGGGTTTGGAGCCAGCCCAGGCCAGCTAAACAACAATGACAACTGCAATAAAAAAACAGCTGGGAATTGTGGCAGGCACCTGTAGTCCCAGCTACTTGGGAGGCTGAGGCAAGAGAATCGCTTAAGCCCAAGAGTTGGAGGCTGCTGTGAGCTGTGACGCTGCGGCACTCTAATGAGGGTGACAATAGTGAGACTCTGTCTCAAAAAAAAAAAGAAGGTTGGATAAAAGGCCCTAGTGTCTGAGGTCAGGATCAGTAATGGCATATTTGCTGTATGATTTCCCATCTTTTACCCTGGAGGAGGATGATGGTGATAGTGTTGATAAAAGTGAATGTTACACAACATTTATGATGGGCAGCCCTTGCACTAAATTCTCTCAATAGCCCTGTGCAATAGGACCTATTATTACTCTCATTTTGTAGATGAAATAACTGAGGCATTAGGTCACTTGCCTCAGATCACATGGTTGGTAAATGGTAGAGTTGGGATTTGAACCCAGCTCTTCTTGTTCCTGAGTCTGTGCTCTCAGCCATGGTGGAGAGTCATCTCCATGGAGAGCTTGGACAGATCCCTGCTCCTCCCTCAGAGGCTTGGGGCTGGGCCCAGGAGTCTGTGTGTGGCTGGGTGGTGGGTGATTCACGGTAACAGATGTTGGGGAATGCTCCATACCTATCACATGCTCTTGTTACTAGGATGAACAGAGATGAAATACAAGACTCCAGGACAGTTTTCCCTTGTCACCAGGGGGTTGTTTTCTTTCATTCTGACTCCCCTTTCCCCAGTGGTTCTTTCTTTCTTTTTTCTTTTCTTTTTTGTTGGGACAGTGTTTCATTCTTATCATCCAGGCTAGAGTGCAGTAGCATCAGTAAAGCTCACTATAGCCTCCAACTCCCAGGCTGAAGCAATCCTCCTGCCTCAGCTTCTGGAGTAGCTGGGACTACAAGTGCCATCATAACACCTGGCTAATTTTTCTATTTTTAAGAGATGGGGTCTTGCTCTTGCTCAAGCTGGTCTTATTTTTTTTTTTTTTTGAGGCAGAGTCTCATTTTATCACCCTGAGTAGAGTGCCATTGCATTATCACAGCTCACAGCTACCTCAAACTTCCAGGCTCAAGAGATTCTATTGCCTCAGCCTCCTGAGTAGCTGGGACTACAGGTGCCTTGGGTAATTTTTCTATTTTTAGTAGAGATAGGGTCTTGCTCTTGCTCAATCTGGTCTTGAACTCCTGAGCTCAAGCAATCCACCTGCCTTGGGCTCCCAGAGTGCTGGGATTACAGGTGTGAGCCACTGGGCCTGGCCTGCTCAGGTTGCTCTTAAACTTCTGAGCTCAAGAGATCCTCTTCCCCCTCAGCCTCCCAGAGCACTAGGATTACAGGAGAGAACCACAGCAGCTCACAGCAACCTCCAACACCTGGGCTCAAGTGAGTCTCCTGCCTGCGCCTCCCAAGTTGCTGGGACCACAGGTGCCCGCCACAACACCTGGCTATTTTTTTTTTTTTTTTTTGGTTGCAGCCATCATTGTTGTTTGGCGGGCCTGGGCTGGATTCGAACCCACCACCTTAGGTGTATGTGGCTGGAACGTTAGCCACTTGAGCCACAGGCGCTGAGCCACAACAGCTTTCTTGATATGTGATCCACATACCATGTGGTTCACCCACATATGGTGTATAATCCAGTGGTTTGTAGTATAGTCATGGAGTTGAGAAATAATTACTACAATTAATTTAAAACATTTTATCACTTCAGCAAGAAACACTGTACCCATTAGCATCACTTTTCATTTTCCTCTGCCCTAGGCAATTTCTGTCTCTGGATTTGTCTATTCTGCATACTTTGCATAAGTGGAATAATACACTCTATGGTCTTTTATGAATGGCTTTCTTCACTTAGACTCATGTTCTCAAGGTTCAGAGATGTCGTAGCCTGTTTCAGTACTTTATTCCTTTTTATTGCTGAATAATATTCCTTTGTATGGATAGACCTAATTTTATTTATCTATTCAGCAGCTGATAGACGTTTGAGTTGTTTCCACTTTTGGACTGTCACCTTTCTGCTTCATTTTTAAAGCGATGGCATCCCTCCAACTCAGTTTGTTTTTCTAGTTAGCTTTGTGAATTTATTAGTATTATTCATTTTGGCATTTTCAATTTGGGGTCAGGATTGAGAGTCAGCATGAAATTGGGACAGGATCAGAACTCCTCTAGGAAAGGGCAGAGATTCCAGCAGACTGCTAAGGGCCAGGATTTAGAGGTCGACTATGGTTGTGTGGCTCAAGATTGGATATGGGGAAGGATAAGTTACCTGAGCATCCTGGGCTGGATAATTTCATATGGGAATTTGTGGGTGGGAGTTACTACTATTCAAGGACATGAATTGTCAAATTTGGGGATCTGAATCATGAAAGTGTTTGCGGGTGGGGGGGTGGATCAAATTCTGTTTGGAGGGTCAAAAGTCAGATAGATGTTTCCATGTCAGATATAAAGAGTCAGAGGTTGGGAATGTGAAGAAGAGGGACTTGGAGTCAAAAGCCAGGTGGGAGTCAGAGGTTAGCTCTGGGATCAGAGGTTCAAGGGTAGAGGAATTCAGAAGTAGAAGGTCAGAGTCTTGATAGTAGGAGATCCCAGAGGTGAGAGGTTAGTTACAGGAGCCAAAAGGCAAGAAGGTGGCTCTTGTCAGACTTAGTTTCAGGTCAGGTCCAGGCGACGCCAGGGAGGAGTGGGACGTGCTGGGTCAGAGATCTGGGTGGATGTAAGTCAGGGCTCAGGGGTGAGGCCTCCTTCCCTCCTCTCCACGCAGGGTAGTAGAGGACCTTGCTGAGAAAACGCCGCTGGGGACCCTGCAGCAGCCCAGCGGCAGGGACTGCTGCGGGGGCTGCGGGTGCCTGCACCGCTGGTCCCACTTCTGGGGCGCCCCGGTGACGGCCTTCATGGGCAACGTGGTCAGCTACCTGCTGTTTCTTCTGCTCTTCGCCCACGTGCTGCTAGTGGACTTCCAGCCCATGCCCGGCCCCGCCGAGCTGTTTCTCTACTTCTGGGCTTTCACCCTGCTCTGCGAGGAGCTGCGCCAGGGCCTGGGTGGCGGCTGGGGCAGCCTGGCCAGCGGGGGCCCCGGGCCAGGTCAGGCCTCCCTGCGCCACCGCCTGCGCCTCTACCTGGCTGACACCTGGAACCAGTGCGACCTGCTGGCCCTCACCTGCTTCCTCCTTGGTGTAGGCTGCCGGTGAGTGCCCCGGAGGCCTTTGAACCAGGGCCCCTTTCTGACTGGGGGGTGGGGGGACCTCAGTTCAAGACCACTTCCACATTGTGGAAAAACAGAAACTCTTCTAATGAGTATGTACCTGACACTCGCCCCAAAGTAACTGATTTGCAGACGGATGTAGGGCTTTAGAGGTGACAGGATTAAAGGAGAACCCCACGTCAGCCACTCAGCCTCTGATGCCATTTATTGCTAGGTATGGAGATTACCAGAAGTTTCTCAGAACACCCATGACCTGGGCCATCCTCACCTCCTCCTCCTTCTTCCACAGCCTGTACCAGGTCCAGCCCTCCTGACCCCCAACTCTCTCTGCCTGGTCCCCTAAGTCCCTCCATGCCACTGGCTTAGCCCTCTGTCCTTCTTAGCTCTGTCCCTCACCCAGCCTCCTGGATTCTGATCTTTTCCTTCCAGGGCACCAGGAAAGTCTTTCTACCTTCAGAGCTGACCCACCCCTCTGTGCTTCCCATGACTCCCAGCACCCCGGACAGGGCCTGGCCTGTCTCTGCTGGCTGTCTCACCAATTTCTTTCTCTTCTCCCCACCTGCGCTCCACCCTCTTTAAGAGCTCCTTGAAATTCCTTCATCATAGGGAAATTTGATCTCGATGTTTGGACCCAGATATTTGGAATCTACGTACTATAATTATAAAATTTTAATCAGAATTTAGCAGTACTGACAGATTCCTATCAAATAAGTATTTTCCAGTTACTTAAAATTCCCTCATCAATTTTACATGCAGGACAGTTAAGGTTATTTCAATTATTTTCATTTTCGTTTTCTGAAATTATTTCAACTTGGTTATTATTCGGGTTTAAGTTTTACAATGAATGTGTGGTTCATCAGTCATGTTTTTGTCCGTATTGAAATTTGAATTTGCCCAGATCTAGGGTCTCTGTTTGTGATTTTTCCTTTGTGGTTGTTACTTCTTGCATATGCAGTTTTCCTGGATCAAATTTCATAGATTCAAATTTCACTGGGGAGGCTCACATGTTCTGTCAACTATTTAGTCCATGAAAACTTTTGTTTATTTCATAGTTAACTCATAAAAACCAAATAGTGAGCAATTCCCCTCAACTATTTTCTGTTGGTAGAAGTGGGCTATATAGGGACTTCATTTCTTCCATAATTTCTGGATCATACTGTGTGGTGCCCAAAGGGAGGGCATAGGGTAGATCAAAATGTCCTTGGAAACAAATCATCTTGTCTTAGGGTCTTGGTTAGTGCTGTTCCCCTTCCTGAAACACCTTTCCCTCTTCTCCTTTGCCAAGTCAAATCTGACACTCCTTTTAGACTTTAGCTTTGCTATCCCTGCCTCTGGATGCCTTTTTTTTTTTTTTTTTTTAAAGACAGAGTCTCACTATGTCACCATCAGTAGAGTGCTGTGGTGTCACAGCTCACAGTAACCTCAAACTCTTGGGCTTAAGGGATTCTCTTGCCTCAGCCTCCCTAGTAGCTGGGACTACAGGTGCCTGCCACAATTCCAGGCTATTTTTTTGTTATTGTTGTCATTGTTTAGCAGGCCCAGGCCAGGTTTGAACCCTCTAGCCCCCGTGTATGTAGCCAGTGCCCTAACCACTGAGCTATAGGCGCTGAGCCATGGAAGGCTTTCTTATCCTCCCCAGACCTCCTTTGTGTTCCCCCTAAATGCCCCTAAGTGCTGCTCTGACTATGGCTTGTGCTGTCTCTCTCCTCACACAAGATTATAAACTCCTTAGGCCACGTCTGTCTCATCTTCCAGCACTTTCAAACATCTTTTAAATATGTGATCTATTACCAAAGAAATGCAGAAATATGTTTTACTGAACAAATTAAACAAATGAAGGATGTAGAACAGGAACCAAAGATTTTCCTCCATTATGACAAGTGACCTGCCTTTCTCTGTGGTTACCTCCATCAGTAGTTTGGTGCATATCCTGTCTGTCCTTTTTCTTTTTTTTGAGATAGAATCTCACTATGTCACCCTCAGTAGAGTGCTGCGACTTCACAGTTCACAGCAACCTCCAACTCTTGGGCTTAAGTGATTCTCTTGCCTCAGCCTCCCAAGTAGCTGGGATTACAGGATTACTTACCACAACACCGGGCTATTTTTATAGACGAGGTCTCACTCTTACTCTGGCTGGTGTGGAACCTGTGAGCTCAGGCAGTCCACCCACCTTGGCCTCCCAGAGTGCTGGGATTACAGGCATGAGCCTCTGAGCCCAGCCCAATACACATTATTCTTTAAAAATGCCACTTCAAATTCCAAAGAAGGGCTTTTAGCCATCGTTGGGTAAAGATCAGATGAGACAGACTTCTTGCCAGAATTTAAGGAATGTGCTATTTTTGTAAGGCAGTAAGACAAATCTTCCAGAGATAGAAATCAGCCCAAGAGTTTCTCAACAATCTCTTTCATTTTCAACTCAAGATAATGTGAGGTTATATCATATATTTGCCTCTCTGGTTCTAGACCTTAGCTGATGAGGTTTCTGTTTCTTTCTTCCTTCCTCCTTCCCTTCGTTTTTTTTTTTTTTGCTGGGTTTTTTGGCTGGGGCTGGGTTTGAACCCTGCACCTCTGACATATGGGGCTGGCACCCTCTTCCTTTGTTTTTTTTTTTTTTTTTCTTT